GTTGTTAATTGTTATTTGCTTGGCGTTAATTTCTTCATCTCGTTCTCCGATCTTTTCTTTTAAATCGCTAATAGTTAATTGCTTGGCTTTGGTTTCTTTTTCTCGCTCTCTAACCTTTTCTTTCAAAGCATTGATAGTTTCTTGCTGAGCTTTAGATTCTTTTTGCTCTTTAATGGTTTCTTCAAAAATTTTGATAGTCTCTTTGGTTTGTTCTTCTCGGACTTTAATCTTTTCTTCTAATATATTGATTGTTACTTGCTTGACTTTGGCTTCTTCTCCTTGTTTTCTTATCTTTTCTTCTAAATCAACGATCGTTTTTTGTTTGGCTTTAGCTTTTTCTTCATGCTCGTTAAACTTTCGTTCCAAATATTTGAATTGAGAATTTAAATTTGAAAATTTCTCTATTTTTGCTGTTAAATTCAAATTTTCTTGCCTTATGTTTTCAAATTTGGCTAAAATCTCGGTAATTTTCTGTCCTGCTAATAATTCTCTTAAATTATCTAAATCATTAAAATTAATACCTAATTCATTAAGTAAAAAGGAGAGTAACAATTGATTTTCTTCGTCGGATTTCCTTTTACTTTGTTCTAATTCCTTGATTTTATTTTCCAAATCTTTGTAGGATTTATTTGCGTTGAATTTAAAAACCATTTTACGATTGATCTTAATTTAGTTGTAAAATGTTTATGATCGGAAAGGATTATTCTACAAAAATTTTCTAAAATGTTTTTATTTATTAATTTCAGCCCTCGACTATCATTTCTTTTTTAGATTGAACATTCGAAATAACCATTTCCTCAATGTAATTACTTCCTTAGAAAAGCAGTAAATGGTCGTTCTTGTGTAACCTTTATATATTTTAAATTTCTTCATTTTTTTTAGAATCTTGGAATTAAAATTTGTAAATTTCGTAATTTAAATATACCTAAAATGAATTGACATCAACCGGTTTTAGCCACTTTTTTTTAATTTGAGACCCGGATTTAAACCGAATTTAAATAAAACCGATTAAACCTTGTAATAAACCCGAAAAAAACCGAATTGCGATAAAATATAATATTTAAAACAAAATATTTTTTTTTTCTTTCATTTTTATTTATTTTTATAAAAAAAAAAAAATCAAGCTAATTGCATGCTTAAAATGATAGATAAAAGTTAATAAAATGAAACTTGATTCACCAAATCCGGAAATAATTGAGTGATTTTTGCTGAAACATTTATAATTATTTGTGTCTGAAAACAATTTTTCGCTAGGTATTGAAGTTGCAGGATGGATAGATATTTTTTTTTTTTTTTTGCAGGTTGAGATAAAATATAAAAGCCACTTTTAAAGGGTCAATTTGCAGAAGTTTTAAATATTCGAATGAAAATCACAAATCCAAAAATTTAAGTTTCATTATATAAAAAAATATATTTTTTAAAAAAATTTAATCTATTGATTGCATTATTTATTTTTGAATAAAATATCTAATGAATTGTTAAATTATATATTTAACCGGTTAACTTCCGGTTTCATTAAATTCGAATTTTCGCAATCAACCGGGTTTATTAAACCCAACCGGTTCCAACCTTAACAGGAGGATAAATTTTCAAAAAAAAAATACTGCTGCTTATGCGGAGTGACACTGAAAATATCGTCTATAAAAAAAAGTTATTAAAATAGCAACAAAAAATCTATATTTTTTAAAAAAAAACATTGATAGCGCAGTATAGTCTAGTATTTTTTTTATTATTGACTAATAAATATCTAGATTTATTTCGAATTTTTGTAATTGGTAAGAATGAATATATTCAAACCTTTTTAAATTATACTTAACAATTTCTAAAGTCGAAGAGCGAAATGAAAATGCGCGACATAAGTTCTACTACTTTAGGAAGAAATCTTGCCCACTAGAAATAAAACCATGGAAGTAATTAATGTCAAACCAAAAAGAGGTTACTAAAGATTCGTATCTGAAAGGAAAATGGTTGTCATCAGTCACAGTCATGCACTTTTTAATAGAAAAAGTGTATTTCCCACAGAAGTTCTTCCCACACAAGCTCTTGTTGCTGCTCATTCTAAATCTCTTTTGCCTTTTTCTTTCATACGACGCTTGTTTCATATACAGGGGTCCACTTAACAGTTTTCTTTAATCTACTAAGTCAAATGAATTTTTGTTTGAACAAAGCAATGAAATGATTAGAAATTTCACATCAATAACTTTGGAACGATATGTACTTAATGTGCATAAAGTGAACGTTTAGGTATTTGAAGGAGACGCGACCTTCTTTTTATAAACACGCTTCAAAATTGCAGCCATGTTGAGTTTATAGAAAATTTTTGTTGTAAAAAAGGGGTGGAACTTTTTAGATAACCCGTGATGAATGAATAAAAAAAAAAAAAAAATTGAAATTTTTTTTTTGAAATTGGTACAGCAAGTATTCGAACTCAAGGCATGCTTGCACGTTTCACACCATGTCAAGACCTGTTACCAATACACCCCCAATATCACAATAAAAATTTCACCCACGTGACCTTTGGTCGGCATTACGGCATTAAGAAATATCTGTGACAAATATGGGCGTGACAAATACCGAAAAATTTCTAAGGTTGAGAGATGTGACAATTTTACTATGATCACGTAGGGTGAATTTTATGGTGATACTAGGTAAGATTAAAATACGCCACATCAGTCATGCGAGGCGCTGGTTAAGGAAGCCAATAATAAATTTTTTTATTTAGATTATTGTAGTAATTTAAAAATTCACGATGATATTTCCCGTATGTACACATTCAGTTGATATTCATATTTTTTTTTTTTTTTAATAGGGTTGTTGATATATTTATTGCGACCGTTTCCAGTGTAATTTTTCAGTCTACTAACAATAAAAGACACAAACCCTTATCATTCTTTATATTTAATTTTTTTTTATAATACTTGATAATGATACCCACATTTCCGTGATACAGTAATTCTCCCCCAAATGATTCCAGTTCGTATTTTGGACCGTGAATAATTATTACTGGAAATCATAAATGTTTAAACCTTATAAATGATTTATTCTTAATCGTCAATACAATTGAACGACAATTACCTAAATCATTAATCAAATCATGAACTTAATAAATTATGGAATTATGATTTCATTTCATATGTGCCAACAAGACATTACTTTGGTTTTCCAATGAGGAAATAAGAATAAATATATTAATAACCTTGTAATAATTTTCTTTACAAGGTGGAACATCATTATATTATATTCTGTATATTGATATTTGAATCCAAATGTAATGTATAAGTATTATTGTATAATGTTATAATGTTAAGAAAAAGGTAATAATTTATTTATTTATTAAGAAAATTTTTCATTAAAAAAAAAAGTAAACTCGAAGGTTATTATTTACAAAATGTTTTTATGATTTCGAACTTTTAAGATGAAGATTTATATGTTGAGATCTTCTGAAATAATATTTATGATATTGACGAATCACTGTATTAATAAATGAGAATAACGATTGTATACACATACTGTAAGGAATATTTAACCTATAGAATTTAAACCGATTAAAAATTAGAAATTATATAATAGATTGAACAAAATAATAAAATGTTATTTAATATACTAAATATAATTAAATTAAATTTAAAAAATTCTAATAATTGTAAATTTATAATATCCTATTAGCCTGTTTCAATTTTATTACTTAAATAAATTATTTTATTAAATTTAAATTGAAAGTAAAAATATATGTATAATAAAATAAAATAATATTAAACCTTTTGGAAATAACAAATAAAATTCGTGTTATTTAACAAAAGATGAAAGAAAAAATTTAAAATGAATTTATAAATTTTTATCTAGTTTCTGAACTAATTGTCAAACATTATATTATAAATTTAGAACTGAATATTAAAATATTTTTGCTTGTTCAGTATGCTCTTCTTAAATCGGAATAAATTAAATAAAAAAGGAAATGGATCTGATCATCAACCATATAAATAGTTACCACAATTTTTTTTTTTTTTTTTTTGAAAAAAAATTCTTTTGAAATGTCTTCACAATTTTTTTCGAAATTAAGCCAAAATTATATTGAAATATTGAAAGATGATGAGTACTATGATATTACAATTGAAGTTGGAGAGGACCAAACATAAAAATATTCCGTGCTCATATGAATATTTTGTGTTACCGTTCGCCATTTTTACGACGAGCCTTGATTAGTAATAAAAAAAGTAATAATGATGTCTTGTCTCACATCAAATTACCGAATATCTTACCAGAAATCTTTCAAATTATTTTAAAGTAAATTTATTTTTTTTTTTTTTTATTGATTTTATTTATTTTTAATTTTAACCGTAAATTTTTTATGTTACAGGTATATTTACGGTGGGATACTTTCAATGAATGAGCATGACACCTCAGAAATTCTCAAAGTCTTGGTTGCTGCAGATTATCTATTGCTTCATGAATTAGTTGAATTTATACAAACATATTTGATTAAAAATAAAGCTAATTGGATGGAACAACATTTTGAGCTAGTTCATCGCTCAAGTTTTCAATCAAATCACCTATTAGAACTTCAAAAATTTTGCATGGATTTGATGGCCAAGTTTCCTGAAAAAATATTTAATTCACTTGATTTCATTTCACTTCTAGAGAAATCCTTGACTTCGCTCATTAAGCGAGATGATTTACAGATGCAAGAAATTGAAGTTTAGAAACATGTACTAGATTGGGGTATCGCACAAAATCCTACACTCGTTTCAGATCCTGCAACTTGGTCTGATAATGATTTTAAAACAATGGAAAGTACTCTACAAAATTGTCTTAAATCAATTAGATTTTATAGTTTATCTTCCAAGGATTTCTTGAAAAATGTTCATCCATATAAAAAATTATTTAAACCCCAATTTTATGAGGATTTATTGGAGTATTACCTAGATTTTGAAAAGTTGCCTAATAATAATATGTTAACTCCTAGAAATATTAAAATTGATTCGAAAATTATAAACTCAAATATAATTTCTTTAATTTCAAAATGGATCGATAGAGTAGATCTCCATAATAAATTTTCTCAAAAAAGTGAATTATATTTACCGTATGAATTCAAATTATTGCTACGAGGAAGCAAAGATGGGTTTACTCCTAAAATATTTCATTCATTATGTGATGATAAACCCAAGACAGTTACATTTATTAAGGTAAAAGGAACGGATGAAATTCTTGGTGGGTATAATCCTATTATATGGAAATCTTCACCAGAATGGGGATGTTGTAAGGATAGTTTTATATTTTCTTTTAAAATTAGAAATAATTTTTTTCATGATGTACTTTTTAGTAATGTTGCAAAAAATAATTATGCCTTAAATTATGGAAAGGATTATGGTCCATCATTTGGTACTGATCTTGTGTTACATACTTCAAATGAATTTAAAGATTATGACAAGAATTATTGTAAAAAATCTTTTTATGAAAAAATAATAAGAGATCCAGATGGTCAATTTTTAATAGAAGATTATGAAGTATTTCAAACTTTTATAAAGTAATCTTATTATATAGGAGGTTTGCTTTATAGTAAATAGTAACGTGATTTTAACATAATTTTTATAATTATAAGAAATTAAAAAAAAAAAATATGGTATTGTCCGTATTAAATTGTTGAAATTATGAAAAATTAAGTCTCACTAAAGGCACTGATGCGTGAATTAAAGTTATTATTTGAAGGGTATATTCGAAATATCCGTTTATGAAATTGGTCGAACGTTTACTTTTACAACCGTAAAATGTTCAATTTGCGATTACATTTAACGGATAAAAAAACAAATTGGATATATAATGAACAAATATTTTTTATAAGCATACATTAGAAACTTTAGGCAGACTAAATTATTTTAAAAGCAAAAGTGTTTATTTAATTGATTATTCAGCACTTCTTTAATTTTTTAGTCATTTTGAAAATATGATAAAAATACTATAAAAACAAATACATGTGTAAAAGAAAGTCGCAATATTTGAAATTCATTATTTACATAGAAAATCCATACATTAAAAATAAATATTATATTTGTTAAAAGCGTTTTTTAACTAAATAGTGACATAAAAAAAAGATTTGTCATTTAATTGATATCAATTCGAACAAAATAAAAAATTGCCACGCATAAATTTAACAATTTTTGTAATAGCTTCATCTTAATAATTTTTAAGCCTCAAATACAAGAGACAGTTATACACGAGGCCTTGGGTGGTCAGTCAACTAATTAAATCAAAACTATATATGGTATCATATAAAAGTTTATTAATGAATTTTTTCCGCCGCATTAAGCTAGTATTAAGCTATAGTTACTATAACTTAAAATTTATCTTATAGTCTCTTACTAAATCGATGTATTTTTTATTCAATAACTTTGAATCTTTCTTAAAAATTCCCATTTCAAATTCTGCAAAAGAGTTCCAAATAATTGTCTCTTTTATGAAATAGCTCGCTTTTTTTTAAAAAAAAATATATCGCATCTCTACAATAATAAATTAATACTTTTTAGCATAACTTTGTAGGTAATTTTTTTTTATAAAGAATTTACGAAAAACGCGGTATTTCAAGTTTCTTTAAGTTATGATATATTCGTTTAATCTTTAACATTACTTCAAAGCTAATATTACGCAAGTTATTAAAATTTTAAGATTTCGGATATTTTAGTGGGAAAATGCCCCTATTACCTTGACTTTATTTACCATTGGTTGTTTGTCGCCTTGGTGGTAATAATGCTAGATCTTTAGCTTCTAGTTTTCATCATATGATTTTAAAAAAATCCTTGGATTAAGCCACCAATGGACTTAGAATTGCGGTTTGCAAATGTATTAGAAGATTGCATGATTTGCTATTACAAAATAGCAATTTTCTTAGAGAATTCGAACAATTCTGTACAAAAGATAATTCATTTATATATAATTGTCCAGATTTATATAATTTCGTTAAGACTCGGATTTATTTTATTATTATTCACCAACAGCAAGTAGAAGGTCTTTTTAATAAATTAGACCTAAAAACGCATCCCAACATGACAATATCAATGTAACAATCTAAAATTCAATTATCTAAAAATAAAATTGCCAAAGAATTATTCGGATGGATTAAAAGAAATAAGAGCAAAAAGAAATGCATTAAAAAAAATTCCACTCCAAGAAATTCAATTGCAACAATTCGGATCTGACGTTGCTTCAAATATTTTTCATGAATTATTACTTTAAATATGCTGTATATTTTTAATAAAATATTATGTAATTTACACTTATTAAAACCTAATCAAAGATCTACACGAAAAAGTATAAAAAATTCAATAATAAACTTTTATATGATACCATAAATAGTTTTGATTTAATTAGTTGACTGATCACCCAAACGAGGCCTGCATAATCCAAATTTTGAAGCTTGGCCCTATCAATAATTTCATAAAATACAGACAAACTTCACTTTTTCAATTCTCCTTTATTAAATTTAAAACAACTTGCTCAACAATTTGACATTTTATTTTTTTAAATAAAAAAAATAATGTAACGCGCGTCAAAATTAAAAATGATCGACAACAATGTAAATTAACATTGTTTATTAAAAAAATTTTTTAATGTTACGATTTTTACCAAGTGCATTTCAAGAATTTTATTATTTTACAAAAATTAATAAAAATCAAAATGCAAGATGACAATAATTCAAATGAGTGGATTAATTGGATGGAGGAATATATTTTAAGAAAAAAATATCAAAAGCTATGATTCGAACTTTTTAACAATGTTAAAGAGCTCGGTACTAGCAACTTTGGAAAAGTCTATCGTGCAAAATCCTTTCATAACCTATACAACGCCACTGTTAAAGAAATAGATCGTGAGGTAATTACAAATTATAAAATGTATTTCGGTTTATTTCAGTCTTTTTAATATAAATCATTTATATATCACACTAAATTTATTATCAGCTCGAACTTCAAAGTGAAGTCGATTTTCATGATAGTATTATTCGCTTTTTACGGGATAACTTCAGAAAAAAATATGTAATGTTCATAAGAAATTTTATTATAGATATACTGTATATTGATATTTTTATTTTTATTTGTTATTTTAACTCGATTATCAATATTTAAAAAATTTTTAAATAAAAAACTTAGAAAATGATGTTAATTTGAAAAGGTATTGGTTAGTAATGGAATATGCTGATGGCGATTACCTTAGAAACCATTTGAAGAAGAATTTCGATAGGCTTACTTGGGATGATAAATACAACTATGCATTCCAGTTGGCTAGTGCTGTGTCTTGTCTACATGAAGAAGGAATTGTACATCGTGATTTGTTAAACGGTAATCTTACATAATAATTTAGTTTAATTTGATTATTATGAAACTTTTGTTATTAAATAATATTTAATTTTATATATAATGACATTCTGATAATATATTAATTCGTCATGTAATATTAAACTTGCTGATTTTGGATTATCGAAAAGAATCGAAGCGGTATCTAAACACAGTCAAAAGTCTTGGTGTAAATTACTTATATTGATCCTAAAAGATTTGGTAGACGAAATAGAAGTTCTAATATTTCGAAGCAAGATAATCTAACTGAGAAGAGCGATTTTTATAGTGTTGGCATGTTGCTATGGGAGATATCAAGCGGTAATCCTCCTTTTTATGTTGAAGGTGAACCATTCGACATTGATTTAGCTATAGATATTTCACAAGAACTCAGAGAAAATATCATTCCGGTGTTGCAAGAGATCAGTAATCACGAATGGCGCAGTAGCTGCGTGAAAATATTAAAAATATTGAAAGTATCTATAATGCATTTATATCAATTATATATGTTAAAATAATTATACTAGTTTTCGTATTTACATTTGTTTTACTATATATATTTATTAAATTTCTTATAATTGTTATTTTTATATATTTGATATATTTATTTTATTTATTTTAAATTAGTATTTATAAATTTAGTATATAAGCCCCGAAAATCCGCTTTGTTCAAAGAAGAAGGTTGACAATTCTTGAGAAGAGACGTCCGAAATCTTGAGTTAATAATTTTCCAAGTTACACTTTCAAACTTTATCGTGTCTCCATATAGACTGACTAATAACTAACTACACAAAGAATCGTATAAAGTAAATAGTTGTATAATTTTTCTTAGGACGGGCCTCAGTTAGATTTAATCGTTGTTTGGTTAGCCTGGTTTCGGTTTAAATTCGGTTAACACCGGATACGCCTGAAGATTATGTAAAGATTTATACTGGTAAACACTATTATAAATTATAAATTTAAATTTAAAATTTAATGTTTTCGATCACTAAATTGTTTAAATGTTTTTAGAGTGCTGAGACAATGAGCCTGACATACGTCCGTTTATGAACAAAGTAGAATATATAATCAAACCTTCAATTATCAGAACCATTTTATTCTAGTATTAATAATTCATTACACGGTGAATTATTTCTAATGATCATAATTTTAATAAGATGAGTGCAGAAGAATTACAATCTAATAATGAAACATTAGTCATAATTTACGATGATACTATTAAAATAATTAACGATTACGGATATTAATAAGGATATATTAAACGCCTAGGAGGATTGCCAAAGATATCGGAAATTAAAAGTTTTCGACTGTAATAATTCTCAGATAACCAGCTTACCGACATTACCCAATTCCTTAATGGAACTTTATTTAACAAATGTTAATATAGTATATTGTTCATTTCAAAAACTTGTTTTTAATGGAAAAAAATTTTCAAATTACCTGTGATAATTGTTCTGAATAAAATATACATAATTTATTAGAAAGTAATAAGGTAATTTTATTTAATGATGAAATGAATTAACTGTGGTATGATTTTAGTACATTTTTACAGATCATTTTAAACCACTTTCTAATATAATGCAATATCATTATTTTCAATTTAATAATTTACCTGAAGATATAAGTAAAATATATATTTAAAAATATTTAACAGAATAGAAACTCCTTTCCAATTATTAAAAAGTAATAATTATGACAAAAATGATAAACTTAATATAATTCCACTTGTATTATTAACAAATAAAAACAAAATATTTATATTCAAAATTCGTTATTATGTAAATAATCCATTTAAAGATATTTATTTGTGCAAATACTATAGAAGATTAAAATATATTATTATTTTTTTTTTAATATATAAAAAAATAATATTCAAAATTTTTTTTGAAAGATATGAATACTTTTCAGACCCCCCATAATCTTATTCTTATTTTTTACTAAAAATATAAAAAATTAATTAATCTTTTTATTTATTATATTTTACTTTTAATTATAAAATAAATTAATAATTAATAAATCTTAATTTTAAATTATATATAATTATTTATTAATATTTTTTAAAAGTAATGATATAATATTTTTGCAACTAATAATCATAAAATGTAATGACGATCCCTCATTAAGTCCGGAGCACAAATGTAACGAAAAGGACCAACCACGTATCGACTCAAATTTGAGCGGGCGGACAAACAGACACCGGGCACAGACATATAGTCCTTCGCTTACGCTCCGGACTAATTTATAGTGTCGATCAACAAATCTTTTAGTGTTTTATTAGATTCTTTATTTAAAACGTATGTGATAATATATAAAATAATACATGAAGAAATATAAGAAAAGTTACCAAGCATTCGACTAATAACAGTTCACACACTTTAAATATTCAATTCAAAAGTAGATTCCTGACAAATTTTACCACTCGTTTTATTTTTGGGAGTAGCTTTGATTTCTATTTTGCCGAAGGTAAGCGCAAATTCAATAGGACGGTTTAAACCCAAATATTTATCATTTGTTTTGATTTTTAGGGTCCCTAATAATTTCATTCCTGGATCATTACAAAACTTTGCATC